GTAGAGGTGAGGGGGCTGCGGTGGGGTCTGGTGAAGGGTCTGAGAGTGGAACTGCATGGAGGGAAGGAGTGGTGGGCAGGCAGCGGTGGTGAAGCTGGGCTTTTTTTTTAGCGCTCCAATGCCGTTTCCCATCTCGTTCCCCCTTGTATCTCGCTTTTTCCCTTCTCCCCCACAGGTGAAGGGCTTGGAGCGGTGGCAATTCGCCTCTGTGCCTCCTGCAGAGATTTTCAAGAAAGCGGTGGACGAGTACAGCACGTGGGATAAGAAGGGCGTGCCCAAGGGAGAAGGGAGAAGCACTTGTGTCAAGGGCGGCAAGAAGCTCATTTTGCCTTGTATTGTATCCTCTTCCTCCTTGCACCACAGGTGAAGGACTTGGAGCGGTGGCAGTCGGCATCTGTGCCTCCCTCTGACATCTTTCGGAAAGCGGTGGACAAGTATAGTGCGTGGGATGACAAGGGCGTGCCGACTCATGACAAGGATGGCAAAGAGCTTTCAGCTAAAGCCAAGAAGGTGTGTGCTTGCTTTGCGGTTAAAAACAGCAGCATTCAGCCTTCAGTCTTGGGGGGTGGGAAGCTGAGTATCACCCATGGCTGCCAGGGAGTGGACAAGGGCTGAACCCATCTCCCTCCCCCTCCACACCCCCACTCCTGTCTGTCAGGGAGTGGACAAGGAATTGAATAAGGCAGAGAAGGCATTGCCAAGTACCAGCAGACAGTCGTTCTCGTCCTCCCCCTCCACGTTCCCCATCACCCCCTCTCTCTCTCCGCACGTCCCCGCACTTGCCCCTGCTTTGCGAGGGAGTGGACAAGGAGCTGAAGAAGGCAGAGGAGGCATTTGGCAAGTACCAGCAGACAGTCGTTCTCGTCCTCCCACTCGGCCTCCCATCACTCACTCTCTCGCCCTTTCTCCCTCTGCACATCCCTCCACTCGCCCATGCCTACCAGGGTGTGGACAAGGAATTGAAGAAGGCAGAGGATTCGTTTGCCAAGTATCAGCAGAAGGTGGGAGAAGATCCCGGGTTCCTGGACTCGCTCAGAGAGGAGGTTGCCAGGCTGGAAGCTGAGCTGGCAAAGTGATAAGAAAGATTTGCCAGCAATGGTCGAGCGCAGCGCAGCATAGAGCCTGATCAATAGGTCCTGCTTACGATATCCCTGGGCCTCGTCTAATCTCTAGGCCCTGTTTAACCCTACTGTTTCCTGATGTGTGAGATGCACTGCACCGCACTTCACCGCACCATCTTCGAAGCATTTGGCTGTGAGAGGATTGTGGCATGTGATTGGATGGTTGTTTTGGATGTGGTGAAAATGAATAAACTTTTTGGCGCACACTGACTGCTGTGTTGCCCAAACAGCTCCGAAGAATGCATTCAGTGCAAGGCTGGGTTGTGTTGCTACAGTACAGTAACGTGGAAGAGAATTATAATTCAAAAGTTTATTGTGTGTTACGTCGCGTTGAGTCGCGGTGTATCATCACTGTTGCAGCAGTAACAGCCCAAACAGAACGGTGGAGAGCGGTACAGTGAGGTTGTCGTCTAGCTTATCGCTGATTGGCAGTGACTCCACCACTGTAGCTCCGAGGCTGACCAGGAAGACTCGGAGAGGCAGGTTCGGCAGCAGCAGCCAATCAGAGGAGTAGAATCCTGCTGCTATGAAGAGATGAATGGTGCTGATGGGATGTTACGAACGAAAATGAGGAAGGGAGGTGAGGGAAAGGGTGGAGGTGAAGAGTGCTGATAGGATGAGGAAGGGGACTTGTTACGAGCGAAAGGACGGCAGTGTGAGTGGGGGAAGGGTGGGAGAAGGGAGGAGATGACAAATGCTGAGGATGTGGAGATGTTACAAGCTGCAATGAGGAAGGAGAGAGGAGGATGGTGGATAGGGAGGAAAAGCAGTGTTGTTAGCTACTAGCATGCAATCAGAGCGCAACATGCGCAATCAGAGCCAAACAATGAGCGAGACAGTCATGCAAGCAAGCAAGCACGCACAAGAGGGCGAGCCCATATCCAAAGAGCAGCATGGCCATGCTCCCTGCCCAGCTCTTCTCGTCGTTCCACGGCAGCTTTGCGGAACCTACTCTCCGCCCCACAATGTCAGCGATGCCTGGAGGGAGAGTGAGATATGGAAAGGGAGGATGGCATCGCAATGAAGGGCGATGCAATGAGAAATGGAAGTGCAAGGAGAAACGAAGGGCGCAATGAGTTTGGAGGGGCAGCAATGCAATGGGAGGGACGATGAAACTGGAGCAATGAAGACAAGAGGGGTGATGGATGGAAAAAGAGAGAGCAACATGATCCAGCATGGCAGCTTGGATTCTGCTCTACTAACCACCATCTCCACCGCACTACCCACCATCTCCACCGCACTACCTGCCATCTCCACTGCACTACCCACCATCTCCACCACACATGAGCGCCAGTGCCACGCCCCCAACAGGGGAGGAGCGCCAGAATGTGATTGTAACGAAGGCTAGCGTAAGGATGTAGTATAGGGGGCCGCCCAAGAGCTCGCTGTATGAAGGGGGAGGAGGGAGTGTGTGCAGGGGAGGTGAGACGGGCAAGAGGGTGAGAAAGAGAGAGGAAGTAAGAGGGAGAGGAGAGAGAATATATTTTGAAAATCTTCAGAGGCTGAAAAGGTAGAAGATTGCAGGGAGGGAGTAAGAGGAGGGGGAAGAGGAGCTGAAGGGGCCCAGGAGCTGCACACACACCACACCGCACCACACCACACCACACCACACCACACCACACACACCTGGAGCTACCCTCTCGGCTCATAGCCTTGACCATGCCTTCGTTGCGCGTCACCCCCAGCCCCAGCAGCAGCAGGCGCGTGGCGTTGATTAAAGGGACCGCACTGGCAAAGAAGCGTGCATTGAAGCTCGTGCTGCAAGGAGGTGGGGGTGGAGGGCGGTGTGAGGGGCGAAAGGGGGAGGAGGAGAGGGGAAGGAGAGGAGGGGACGAGAGGGGGTGGGGGAGAAGGGGGTTTGTTCGTTGGGAAGATGACACCAGCACTATAACCCGCTACACACGTGCGTCGCATTCATGTGAGTATCCCGAAACCCTGGCGGAAAAGCGTGCGTTGAAGCTTGTGCTGGAACCACAGAAAAGCACGGGTGTTGAAAGGGGAGGGGAGCGGAGAGGAGAGGGTTGGGAGGGGGAGGAGAAGGGGGTCGGGGGTGGGTAGTGTATGGTTTGTGATGTGAAGTGGGGAGGGGGGAGGAGGATTGGGGTATAGGCAAGATTATGTGAGGCTAACTCGAGAGGCTGAAGCAGTAGCAGCAGGCCCTGAGCTTAAGAGCGAAGAGAGGAAGAGTTGACTTGAAGAGCCCAAGTAACAGAGGATGCTCAACTGAAGATCCACAAGAACAGCTCACCAACCATGTCAGCCACGTCAGTTAATGTAGGCCTACATGGCCGACACACCAGGAGGAGCAAGGAGGGAGAAGGAGCTGCTGACATGGAAGAGAGCTGCTGACATGGAAGAGAGCGGCAAAAGGAGGGAGAGCTGACCTGAAGAGCCTAACGAACAGGGGTGCTGCTGACCTGAAGAGCGGCCAGACGAGCATGAAGAGCGGCCAGACGAGCATGAAGAGCAGGCCTGTGGTGATGTGCACGAGCTTCTGAGGCGCCTTGAAAATCCACATAACAGCTAACAGAGAGGAGGAGCTGATCTGTTTTGAGCCGTCTCAAAAGAGGGAGAGCTGACCTGAAGAGCGGCCAGAAAAGCATGAAGAGCAGGCCTGTAGTGATGTGCACGAGCTTGCGACTCAGCTTCTGCACTTGGCGAAGCATGCAATAATGGGGTCAAGGGTGAATGGGGGAGGAGGAGCAGGGGATGAAGACCACTCTTAACTCACCACTCATCTCCCCACCTCACCTCACCTCATCGCACCTCACCTCACAGCTTCTCACACCTCTCACTTTTTACTTCCTCAACGTCCAAAGCCTCCCAGCCTCTTTCAAACCCACAGCTCACCCGTTCAATGAGGCCTCGCCTCACCAGCTCATCAAACAGCCGCACCCAGATGAGCGACCCCAGCAGGGTTACCCGCCCCATCACCGGATCATGCTACTCGCCCAACCCCACTCCCATAACATCACTCCACTCCACCGGACGCTACTCGCCTTCCCAGCTACCAACCAGCCTCTCCAGTCGACTCAACGGTAAAAGCTCACCCGTTCAATGAGGTCTCGCCTCGCCAGCTCATCAAACAGCCGCACCCAGATGAGAGATCCTACCAGGGTTACCAGCCCCATCACCGGATCCTGCCACTCGCCTAGTGATGCCGCTGCCGCTCCCACCCCTGCCGCTGCTGCCGTTACTGCCGCTGCCGCCGCTGCTACTGGCGCTGCTGCTCCCGCTGCTGCTGCTGCTGGTGCTGCTGCCGCTGCACTAGCAGCGGAACCGGCAGTGACAGAGATAGCAGCTACAGTAGCGCCAGAAAAGGCGTTTTCTAGGGCAATGGGTGGGGCGCCTAACTGGGCTTGAATGGGAAGGGCGAGGGAGAGCGAGAGAGGGAAGGAGGAGGGGAGGACGAGAACAGGCAGGGATGATAAAACCCCTGACAGGTGCGTTACGTCTACAATAGGGAGGTCTGGCAAGGACGCTAGGTTCCACACTGCGTTCTGCATGAACCCTCCTCCTGCCGCTCCTCCCCCCACTGCTCCCACGGCTTCTGCTGCTGCCGCCGCCGCCTCTGCCGCCGCCTCAGCTGCTTCCGCTGCCGCTTCTGCCGCTTGCGCCGCTGCCTCTGCTGCGTATGCTGCAGCTTCCGCGGCGGCCTCCGCTGCTGCAGCTGCAACCTGCGCGGCGGCAATCGCGGCGGCTTTGCTCGTAGTAGCAGCGAGCGCGTAGGGCGGGAGAAGCAGAGCGGTACCGAGGACACTCGCCGCTACAGCTCCTGCTACAGCTCCTGCTACAGCTCCTGCTACAGATGAGAACCGGGCCCAGTGGTCACTCCCCCGTTCATGCTCCCCCCAGGCGTGCCCGCGTTTCGCGCCACCATTAGCGGCATCGCAGGTGCTCCAGCTTCCATCAAATTTGTTGTCTCTATTGTCATTGCCTGAGCCTCTCCGGACGATGCTTGGACCGGTCGAATGTCGAAGTGAACTGGGATTTCTGGTGTCATCGCGTGTTCCTGTATCCTCGCGTGACTGAGTCGAACGGACGAGCCTCCCTGCTACGCCGTCGCGGTCGGCGTACTCGTTATAGTCACGGCGGCCACCCGCGGCGATAACTCTGCTGAAACTATGTGCTGGGCTCGCCTGAGATACTCTACACTCGTGGGGATGAGTGCGATCATGGCGATGATGACTCTTGAGGCGCCTCCACAGTAGGCTCGCCTGAGATACTCTACACTCGTGGGGATGTGGGTGATCATGGCGATGTTGATGATGGTGGTAATGGTGATGGTGATGGCGGTGATTGTTCGAAGAAATGCGTTGGTGTTGCTGACGATATAATGCCCGCTGAACCGGTACACCATATACGCATTGTAAGGCCTGTGAACCCTGATCATGCTCACCCCGTTGACCCCGTTGACTTGAATAACTCGGGAGTCTGTCCCGGCGAATTGGGTGCACGCTACGGAAGCGTATGCAATCTTGCAGAGAGAAGGGAATGGCGGGTGGGAATTGGGTGGCGTAAGCAGGCGATTGGCGGAGAGAATGGGAGGCCATGGCAGGAACCATCGAAGTTGTCCTAGAAGCCACAGCTTGGTATCGAAATTCCCGGAGCGTTACCTATCCTGCGGCAAAATGCAGGCTGGCACTTGTTGAGCAGACACTAAATGCGCGTGTGATCTATTTTCGAGTTCGGAAAAAAGGTCGAACTTTGTGTGGTTACCAGCTTCGCTAATGTCGTCAGGAAGCTTTGGCGAAGGCATGAGAATTTTGGGGCACATAAGTTCGAATGTCAAATGTGAACTCCACTCGAATCACACGAGTGAACGTGCGGGTGCACGTGAGGCGAGTGTGTGCTGCTTTCAGCACGTACGAAGACCATCCGAAATTTGCGACCACTTTGCGAAGGTCGTTGAGCTTCGTTGTGCATTACGTTAACGGTCGCGCTGGACCAGGTAGCCTACTCCCCTACGGGCGGCTCGCCGTCATCCCTAGAAGGTCGAATCTCTGTGTTCGACCTAGGGTGTGTGATTGTGACTCGTCTGTGTTGGAGACCCAAGATTCGAACTTCGCTGGAAAGAAAGTAGAGTTTTGTTCAAATGCTACATTCGACCTAAAAACATAAACTTTCACAAATTTGTAAGACCACACGCGCCCTAAAGGACAGATCCTACCGAACAGTGAGGGGTATGCAGCCTGAACGACTAGTCTAAGGAGATTCCTCAGTCCCCACAGGTAGTGTGCAGAATGAACTTGCAGAGTGCGCAGTAAAACGGATGACGAGAATGTTGAACTACAGAATTACTGAATGACGATACAAGGAAAGTGTCGAGACTAAATAGGGGAAATGCTAGCTAGGCGGGGAGGTCGGGAAAGGATGGTTCGATGATGGTTGCGACTCGTGCGAAGGCGACTCGGGGGTGGTTCGGTGCGACGAAATAGGCCCAACAGGCTCGTCGCGTGACCCTCAAGATACCCTCGCTAACGAGTGCCTCAGTAAGGATTTGTATATCCTTACAGGTAGATGTAATGTAACTGTTACGGGTGCAATGAATCGAGGTAGCGAGAATTGCACTAAAGTGTCAAACAAGTACAAAGCATGAGCGAAGGCATGAGCGAATACTTATACGCGAAACACGCAAACGGTAACGCGGTGCATGCGAGCTAGCTAGTGCTACGCTGGCGCGAGGTTCGGGCTAGTCATGAGGCGTAGGCGGACTCGGCTGTTCTAGCAGTGCGATGTTTGGTGAAACAGTGTGCGCGAAGTTGGCGAAGCCCCGCTAGCAGTAACAGGCGAACAACGGCTGCTGCTGTACGCGATGTTGCAGGTCGCGGTAAGGAATGTCTAGAAAATTCCTTACAATACCCCCCCACCACCCCCCCCCACCGCCCAAAAAGGCCCCCTCCACTACGCAAGTGCGTGTTATCGTGGAAACCCTGGCTCCTCGTGTACACTTGCAGGGCAGGGTGGTTTTCAATGTCGGCAAGGGGCACACAGCTATCCTCAGTTGGCATGCGGTCCTTCCGGCGAACGAGAAACACGATCCTCTTGATGCATGTGGGGTGTCGAATCCGATGGCTCAGGACTTTTTCGAGCTCGATGATCGGCTCCGATGCAGGGCGAGTCATGGATGGCGGTCGGTGAGGAGGTAGTTGGCTCGTGGTTGGGATGTAAGGGCGAAGCAGGCTAACGTGGAATTATGGGCTAATGTACCAATTTGTCGGCAACAGTAAGTGGCGGTAACTGGGGTTATCATGTGGCTGATTTGGAATGGTCCACAGTAGCGCGTCGTAATTTTGGCAGGATGGGCAGTCTTAAGTCTTTGTGTCGAGCACTACGTAATCTCGTGACTGGTACGTGACCGGTGGTGGCGGTCAGCGTTGCATTTAGCAATGGCGTTGGTTTTTTGACTACTCCAGCGGCTCTGATGCGGGCAACTTGCAGAATCTCAGCGAATTGTTGTGCACGTGGCGTTGGGTTGTCCGGACTCGGCGTCATGGGCACTATAGGGTTTTGCCCGTAGTTCAGACAGAACGGGGATTGATGCGTCGTCGCTAACGTGGCGTTGTTGTAGGCAAACTCGATCAGAGGCAGTTGCTGCTCCCAAGTTATCAGGTCGTCGCATGTGGCCCGAATCAACTGTTCCATCGTATGATTGGTCCGCTCCATTTCACAGTCGGTCTCTGGGTGGTACGATGAGCTGAACTATAGCCTGGTCCCGAACTACTCCCAGAGGTTCTTCTAGAAGTTGCTGGTGAACTTCGTGTCACGGTCGCTAATTATCGCAGCTGGTATCTCGTGTAGGCGAACGACGCCTGCGATGAACAGGCGAGCAGTGTCTTCGGCTGAGATTGATTTGTTGCAGCCAGCGAAGTGAGCCATTTTCTATCAAACTCATATGCTTTAGTCTGTGTAGGCTGTAGTGGGGTAGACAATATGGGGTACAACACTTCTATATTTCCTACTTCTACCCACCTAATTGCTAGTTCATTCATCCTCTCATTCTAATCTTCACATGGTATAGAGCAGGCTCCCTCGAGGGAACTATTCCTAGGGCCCACCGAGCTTTTTTTTCCTGCCCGAACGCGCTTGGCCCCTGCCCGTGTCTGTGCACCCAGGTCTATGCACGTGTGTCTCTTCTGTAGCTCGGACTTCACGTGGGCGAGTCTAGCAGTGTCAGCAGTGGCAAAGACCAAGTCGTCGACGTACACGAGGATGTAGAACGGCGGCAAAGAGGTGTCAGTGCGCAGAAACAACGACGGGTCGACTGTAGAAGGAGCAAACCTAAGAGCCGCAAGTGTAGTCCTCAGTATGTCGTGCCATTCACTGGGTGCCTCGCGAAGACCGTAGACTGGCCGCCGGAGGCTCCGCTGGGTACTAGGGGCAAACGACCCTGTGAAGCCAGGTGGGCGGCGCAGCCAAATCTCCTCGTACAGGCTGCCTTGCAGGAAAGCTGTGCTGAAGTCAAGAGAGTGAAGCTTGTAGTCGCGCTGAGCGGCTATGTGCAGCAGCACCCGAAGAGTGGTCATCTTCGGGGTGGGAGAGAAGGTCTGAAAGTAGTCAACTCCCTGCCGCTGACTGAAGCCTCAAGCCTCGTAATGCGCCTTGAAGACAGGCGGAGAACCCGGCGGCCGCTTCACCCTGAAAATCCACATGCCACTAACGATGTTCGCCTGAGGTGGGGGAACCTGGTCGACGTAGGTGCCTGTGGACTTCTAGAAAGCCATCTCTGCGTCCATGGCTGACTGCCACTGAGAGGAGTGAGGACCCTCGATCGCCTCAGCGTACGATCGAGGAGTCGGGATGCCTAGTGCATCCGAGTCTCCCTCAGGGGCAATCAGCGTGGATACGAGATGGGGCAAAGAAGCAGCAAAGCACTGGAACTCCTCCTGCCTGTCCTCAAGGACGTCCGTGCTAAGAGCACACTCACCCCCGATGGACGGAGGACAGACAGACTCAGACTCAGCAATGAGACTGGCAGCGTAGTCTAGACGACAGCGAGCAGCGAAGTCGACAAGCTCAGTAACAAGGGCAGACGCAGCAGTGGACTCAAAGGAAGGGTCAGTGACAATAGTAGCAAGAAGGCGTGTGACCGAAGGACTAGCAGCACGAAGGGAGTCAGACTCCAGGTCAG